GGGGGGGTGGGGGGTGTTAGTTGGTAGTTAGTAGTTAGTTGGGGCTTATTCTATGTTATGTTAGTGAGGTTAGTTTGTATTTACAAGTTATTTACATTATGGTATATTTACAGTTTGTCTTATATTAACGGGTAGGCACCCAATGGTTGCGTAATATCCGACAAACCTAAAGTCAAGCCTCTGATGTCACAGCCTAGCAAAATGGAGGCAAAACAGGCCGTTCAGGTCATCCCCACTACTCTTGGGTCTTACACTGCAGGCCCTTGAGGGGAAGTTGCGTTGAAGGTAAATGGTTTAGACAAACGAATTTAAGTCAGCTGTCGATAATGTAATACGCTGATAAAAGAACGGAAAACTAAAAATAATTTGGTCGCCTTGTCTTCTTACCTACGTTGGCGCGTAAGACATATTTAATAGCGCAGACGTTAATTTCTAAGCGACTCATTGTAAAGGAAGCCTCAGGAGAAGTATTAATATTTTTTAACAGTTAGAAAACTAAAAAGGAAATATTTTTTTGCTATTCCTGAATAATAAAAGGAGATTTCGGCGCATTAGAAAATTGCTTAAAAATTTCTGGCTGCAATGAAAAATAGCGTACCACCACAGACCGACAGTTACTTTTTACAGCCAATAAAAGCCATCAAACAGCCGCTATTTAATGTCAAAATTTTGAAAAATTTCAAATTTCAAACAGCTACTATTTAATGTTAAAATTTTGAAAAATTTGACAAAATCAGACGACATGTCCTCACTTTAACCGTAATATTTCGGCTTTGTTTAAAGATAATATTTCGACCTTGGGCTCATTTCATAGCAATAAATATAGTAATAATCGCTGCTAAAGTTTCAATTGCTAATTCGACACTGTTCCCATTCGTAGAATAATTTTGAAAAAATACCATTGTTTTGCTTGAATTTTAACGTGTAAAATAAGCTTATCCAAATAAAAGAGAAATTTTGGGAACATGGGATAAAAAAATAATGTTTAAAAATATCATTCCAGTCAATTATCGACTGTTCATCTATTTATCGACTGCTCGAACGAGACCCGATCGTCATCTATTGTTCATAGAAGAGTAAGTGCGATAGCCTTATTCTATCCCTATTGGCTTGGAAGACCTAAGAGTAACTGCGGTAGCTTTATTCTATCCCTATTGGCTTACTAACAGCGAGCCGTCGCAAGTTCCCCTACATCTCCCACTTTTAGGCCCTGTGTGACGTCAGAGGCTTCACTTTAGGTTTGTCGGAATATATGTACATTATAAGTGTTTCGGAGTGAACTGTTTCCCTTTTGAGTTGGGCCGGGTAGCAGGGGTACGCGCAGCCTGAGTGCGTTTATTCGGGGCTGAGCGGCAACCCCAGGTAGGTGCTGTGTTGGTCGTGACGGTTCTTAATAGTGAGTTTGGGTGGTTGGCCAGTTTATTGTTTAGATTGGTATTGAGGTTCTGTATGTGAGCTGCTATTAATGGAATGTTTAAGGTGCGGTGTATTTCGGTGATTAGTGTGCGTCTGGAGATTTTGGCGGCGATTCGGAGGCATTTGTTCTGCGTTCTCTGGATTTTGTTCATGTGTGTGTGTGCCGTCGTGTACCATACAGGAGAGGCGTACGTGAGGACGGGGCGGATGATGGATTTATAGAGTAGGAGTTTGAGTTTGATAGGGAGGACTGGAGATTTTAGAAAGTGGTAATATCTGGCGAGGATGGAGGTGGCTTTTTTAATCGCTTGCGCTATTTGGGTGGCCCAAGTGAGTCTGGTGTCTATCTGTATGCCTAGGTATTTGACGGAATTCTGGAACTGAATGGTGGAATTGTGGATGTTGACTGCGGGTGGAAGTGATTTTTTGTATGTGAATAGGATGGCTTCGGTTTTGTCGGTGTTGGTGTTTAGTTTCCATTTCTTTAATCTGTTGATTATTAGGTGAGCTGCGTTTTGTATTCTGTTTATGGCCTTGTGTGGGGGCTGACGGTGTATAGCGCGATGTCGTCTGCGAAGCCTGCATGCTTGCCTGCTTGGGAAGGTCGCGGAAGGCATGAGCAATGAAGACGTTGAAGAGTGTGGGGGAGAGGACGGAGCCTTGCGGGACTCCGGCCATTATGTTGTGCGTTTGAGAGTAGGTCTGTCCTATTCTGACTGTTATTTTACGTTGTGTGAGGAATAAATGAATTAGTTTTGTAAGAAAGATGAGGACCTTGTGGGTTAGGAGGTGGTGGGTGAGGCCTTCGATCCATACTGTGTCGAAGGCCTTTTCCGTATCCAGGAGGATCATGGCGGTGGTGTTTTTTATAGCCAGCTGGGCTTTTATATCGCTAGTTACTCTGGTTAGTTGGTGGACGGTGGAATGCTTTTGGCGGAAACCGAATTGAGTGGGGGGGATGGTGTTGTGGTCGTTCAGGGAGGAGGATAGGCGAGGATGATTTTTTCTACCATTTTGGAGAAAGATGGGAGGAGGCTGATGGGACGGTAGCTGGAGGGGAGGGTCGGATTTTTATTAGGTTTGGGTATGGGGATGATGGTCGCGTTCTTCCAGGTATTGGGAAAGTAGCTGTGGATGAGGATGGCGTTGATTATGTATGTTAGTCTGACTATTGCTCTTTTAGGGAGATTTTTTAGTAGGGTGTTTTGGATGTTGTCGTGACCGGGGGCCTTGTTATTCCTGAGTTTTGAAAGGATGGTTTGGACTTCTGTTGGTGAAGAAAGTTTGGTGGGGGGTGATGGCGTTCCGTGAGGAAGTTGGGCTTCTACGAGCTTGCGTATGTGAGCATGGATTTGAGCTGTGAATGATGGGTTACCGTGACTGCGTGCTTGCTGGTGAATGTTTGCGTAATGTGCTGCTAGCGCTTCCGCTTTGTCCGAGTCTGTTTGTGTTATTGAGTTGTGGGTTTGTAGGTTGGGAATGGTGCGATGGTTTTGAGTGTTGAAAAATTTTGTCACTTTCCAGGAGTTGTCTTTCAGGTTCAGTCGTTGTAGTTTTCTGTCCCACTGTGCGTTTCGCCATTCTATTAGGTGGTGCTGGACTAGTCTCGTGTACTTGTTTAGGAGCGCTCTTGTTTCGTGGTGTCTGTGCGTTTGCCAAAGCGTGCGCATTCTATTCGTAGTCTTGATTAGGTTTTTGATGTGTGGCGGTATGTTTGGGAGGCGGGTGAGGACGGTTTTACGAGGTATATACTGTCTGTTCTGCGGAGTGTGAGATGATGCGTGTGAGCGTGTTGATTTCGCGGTCTATGTCTGCAGGGTTGTGGATTAGTGGTTTCGCATTTAGGATTTGGTCGTTTATGGTGGTTCTGTATTTGTCCCAGTCGGTGGTACGATAGTCAGGTCTGGTGATG